CTCTTTTAGTCTGACATTTGCCTTATTTAGCAATGAGTAGATTTTAAAGCATATCAGGGAGTTCATGGCAAAAATGGCAGTAGAGGGGGTGGAAAACCTGAGGAAATACAAATTTTGAAATTAGCCTGAGTTTCCTTGCCTCTTATTGGCTTTTAAAAAAATTATGTCTGTCTCCCTGCAATGACATTAAAATAACATTATTTTTTTTTTGCATTGGCAAATACAACTAAAGGTCCTTCATTTGAAAATTCATGTGTCTTTTTTGTGTGTGTTGGAGTAGTTCTGTTTTGGAATATAGTGACATTTATTTTCTGCTTTCTTTGTTGTGCTTCTTGGTGAAGATACAAACAGCAGGGAACTTCAGCATGGTAAAAGGCACAAAGGTGGCAGGGTCAGAAGGGAGTTTGAAGTCAGATGAATTTGTATATTATGAAAGTAGTGTACGATAGAGGTAAAAATTAATAAATGTAAGAATTTGAACTTGTTCACTTAACCCATTACTTTTTACACAGAGAATTGTATGATTCTTGTGTCTGGATTTCCACAAAACAGCAATAGCTTTATTGGACCAACCAAAATGCCCAAAGTATATCATGCAAGCTTTCAAATGTTCACTGACTTCTTCATCAGGTAAAGATGTTAAAAATCATACAGCAGAAGAAAGTTACAATGTTTGAGTCATAGGCTTACATTTGTCTCTGATGTTACTTCTGTTGTCTGTTAAGATGATCTAGAGGGGTATCAATGTAGGGAGAGGCTACTCCCCTTCTTTGTCATGTGGAGACCAAGAGCAAAGGGCAATAAAACACAGGCAATAAATTCTGTTCTGTTTAGGGCTAACTATCCCTTTAATAGGAATATTTAATTTCTTAAGAAGTCTCTTTACTTTTATATCTGGAAAAACATTTAGATGCTATATAGGTAAAAATTGCCAATTGTAGTCCAAATGAAAGAGTTTTACATTTGTTGGAGGAAAGAAACTTCAAAAAATTAAGTCCTAGTCCAATAGCTCCTCTTGTTATAAATGCAGCAAAATTCAGTATCTTCAAATCCAGGAAACATATTCAATTTCATAAGCAGAGCAGGCTTAGACTCAGAGGAAAGTGGAGTGAAGATAGGAGGAAGAAACATTAACAACCTAAGATATGCAGACTACACCATACTACTAGCAGAATAGAACAAAAGAGTTGGAACAATTACTAAAGAAAGTCAAAGAAGTGCTAAAAAAGGCTTAATGTTGAATATTGACAACAAAAATAATGACCACGGATGATCTATATGAATTCATCCTATATGATGCAGAAGTCAAAATAGTCAAAGATTTCCCATACCTTAGATCAGGGGTAGGCAACCTTTTTGAGCCGGGGGCCGGGTTGTTGTCCCTCAGACAATTGGGGGGCCGAAGCACCAAAAATAAATAAATAAATATTAAAAAATTTAAAAAATGCATGCACTCTCTCAGTCCCAGAAAATCCATGGCAACCCCCCTGTGGAGATTTTGCCAAGAAAACCCCAAGAACAAGTAATAACAACAATAATCAATATCATCATGGCGGGCGGCGGCGACAGGACTGGCCTGGGGCCGGTCCAAAGGCCTCAGTGGGCCGTATCCGACCCCCGGGCCTTAGGTTGCCTACCCTTGCCTTAGATAAACCACTGACCAAAATGGAGACTGCAGAACACTAGGAATGGGAAGGGTAGCTATGAAATAACGAAATCCTGAAGTGCAAAGATATAAAACTGAACACTAGGATAATTCAAGCCATTGTATTCCCCATCACCATGTACGGATGTGTGAGCTGGACAGTGAAGAAAGCAAATAGAAAGAAGATCAATATATATGAGATGTGGTGCTGGAGAAAAGTGCTAAAGATACCACGGACAGCCAAGAAGACAAACAAATGGGTCCGAGAACAGATCAAGCCCGAACTCACCCTGGAAGCCAAGATGATGAAACTGAAGCTGTTGTACTTTGGCCACATCATGAGAAGGCATGACTCGCTAGAAAAGACAATAAAGCTAGGAAAGGTAGAACACAATAGAAAGAGAGGAAGACTGAACATCAGATGATTAGACTTAGGGGGGTCATCCCAAGACCTGAGCAGAGTGGTTGAGGATAGGGGATCTTGGAGATGTTTCATTCACAGGGTTGCCATGAATTGAAGCCAACTCAAAAGCAGTTAACAACAATAAAAACTATGTTAGGCATGCAGCAAAATACAACAGAATCCCAAATCCACAAAACAGTCATACCTTTATTGGG